GGAGGCACCGCAGTCCTCAGTCCCAAAGGTTTGGACCAACCATCTGCTTCTACTCGGATCCAATCGGTTCTCAAAATAGGGGAGCCCCCTGCTCACTATTTTCCGAAGGCACACCAAGCATTTGAGGAGGGGTGCCCAAACTTGAAAAGCCCCCGTCTGGGAACCAACGAGGAATGAATATGATGTATTGCAAATGCACCTGACCAAAAACATGTACGTAAACATCAGTTCTCAAACACACATGAACGCAAGCCGCCCAAGACTTGATACTCATTGCAGAGTGTCACTCAGACGCCAAAAGGTTGCTGGCTAGCTTCTTTGAATCACTTGGCTTCAAGTTCTTGGTTAGGCTGACCTTTTTGTTGATCATGTGGCTAGGATATCCTGGCATCGGATAGGTTGACGATCAATCGCTGTGTGTTGCATAAAGGCTAGCCTCTCTTGTCCCATCAAAAGAGCTGGTCCGGTCATTGCGGACGGCGGCATTGATGCTGCTGGATGTGGGAGAGGGAACGGTGGCATCAAGCGCATGGCGAATGAGGGAGGTTGCGTAGGAGGGGGAGATATATAGGAGGAGGAGGTACAAACGCGAAAGCGAGCAGTGAGGAGAATATGACGAGCGACGACGACGAGGGCGCCGGCGATTTCCCACTGTCACGGCGAGGCATAGTCACGGAAGCAGTACAAAGCACGCTAAACAGACTTGAACACGATGATGCAATGGAGATCGCTGCCCCGCATTCCTCCGAGCCACCCAAGCAGTCCTAAGAACACGGATCAACCCACAAGCCTAGCAGAATCACTCACCCAATCTCATCAACCCCGTGCGAAGAACTGTTGTGTCGTGGACGAAGAGGAAGGGATGAAGAAGCCCACGATCTGTCACTGCAAGCACTATGACGGTGGATTTGAACTGAGGTAATCTTTATCAGTCAATCAAGCACAAGTGAGAGTAAGAAAGGCGTCAGAAGCCGTTTCTAGCAAACGTCTGTCATACAGGTCACAGCTGAGCCGTCCCGGAGTCTCTCAATGGGTCCACCCGAGGGTCCCCAACTAAGGTGGCACACTTAGACTCCCAAGGGAGGAGGTCAAGTGAGTTCGAGTAAAAACGCGTGAGTATATGGAACATAAGCGAGAAACAGCTGCTTTGGTACGGCTTCCCTCTAGATACGTGTGAAAACGTTGCCAATCACACAGCGACCGAAACCAAGGGGCCGAAAAGGACTTGCATCATTGCAGGTACACAGTGGAGCGTCCCCGACTGCATCACTGGCGTCTTCGTTGGTGCCGGTCCAGTGAGCATCCCTGGCACCCCTTGCAGATGATGGCGTAATACCGTAATAGTGTAAGTATGACGCTCGGCGCACTCACACACACACACACACCTAAGGGCCTAAGCGTCTTCCGAGTCATTTCTTCGGCCTTGGGCTGCCCTCGCTCGCATGGGTTGCCAAGGACCGCGCCGCCGCGAGGTCCTTGTTGTCCTTGATGCCGCTGGGCCACTTCACCACTAGGGCCCCGTTCCTTCGGTCGGTCGGCAAGCCGATGGGGCTCTGGACATTACTATGTCCCATGTTGGGACCGCAGCATTCGGTCTGAAGCCGATACTCTCCTGCAAAATGTCGAAGTATGTCGGTGAACACTAGGGGATCCGTAGGTTCTTTAAGGCCCGGAAAACAAAGGGCTTGGCGCCTTGACAAAAACTGAGACACACTGGGCAAAGTCAAAAGGTCGATTGCAAGTGAGCGACAAGCAGACGGCAGTCAAGGGAAACCAACTTGAACAATGCCGGCCGTTCTACAGCCTTGTCGCCGACTTCGCCCACAGGGATGCTTCAGGTGTTGCCTCTACGGAACAAGGGCAAAGCTTTCAAAGCCGCTTGCTACCGGCAACATCCCGTTCGAACCCCAAGAAGCCACCCCGGTCACCTGTTGAGCGATTGCTTGTTTCATATTTCATGCGGCAAGGCATCTCTGTGTTGGAAGTATGATTGAAAATAGCACCGCCAGCAACTGCAACACACATGTGTGTGTGCGCGCTATGTACACACACGTCAAAACAAGTCCAAACACAGAAGTTGTGGCTTCCTCTTGCCTATCCGGCTATCCCTTGAATCCGCCCCAAATGGGTACACTCAAATCGAACCTCCGAGTGGGTTCCTTGTGGCTCCAAACGACACGCCGAAATGGGCGTGTCCTATTCCCATGTCAGTCTGTATCTATTTCTGGTTGGGAATTGATTGAGTCAACAAGCCCGGGCGCCGCCTGTCAACACTGGGAATCACGAACCACTGTCTGGAACATGAACAGTTGATTTGGTTTCCAGTTGGAGCTCAGCAGCCGGTAGCAATGTTTCAAATAGGAGCCAGATTCGCGGAGTTTTGCATGTCTTCCAGCTTCTGGGGAAGCAGATCTGTCTGTCGTCACACTTTGGCTGTTTAGTCCGAACATGGAAGACCTCTTTGCAACGTTGTTTTTCAATGCAAACTCAAGAGGAACCATTCAGACCTAGAGATCTCGGCACTTTACTACCATTCCCCGCGGCATAAGGGATCCCCATACAGAACCATCATAGGTACGCGCGTTTTGCCGCCACTCATGATTTATGCACAGACATCACACCACATGTGCAGCTCCCTCCACCCCCCCTGGGTCTTGTTGTCGTGGCCGTCGGACAGCATCCTTGGTATCCATGCCACTGAAGGAAGGGAAACACCCTGCAAACAACACGACAGTTTGCCTATATAGGTGTCTTGATTTAGGGGATCCCACAAAAAATAAATCACAAATGGTCCTGGTGTTCCTCTTGGTTTCCCTTTGAACAACTACATAACAGGACCCTCGAAAAAAGAACACCCAAGGGCCTAATGTAAGTCGTTTGGTGATTGGGCATTATTGTCTCTTGGGCTCCCCCAGCACGTAAAATCGGTTTGCCGAGAACACCTATGCTCTGGCTGCGGCTCAAATCGAGCAGGTCAAACAGTATCTGTCAGAAAAAGCTTAGGTGAAAACCTATGATCCGACTGCTGGCAAGCTACAGTAGGCAATTTCACACCCAATCGTTGATTTTTGAGAGTTTGTGTGTCGGAGGTTGCGTTTCGGAGCTTGAGACAAATTCATCTCTTTCCACTGATTGAAACTCACCGTCTGCGAGACACAACAAGCTCAATTGGGGCTGATCCCATGCTATTTATGCAAAGGGCAAAGTCGAAAAGCAGTCGAAGCCTGTGCAAGCCGGATTGTTCAATACGTTAGGGAAAGCACCGGGCATGAGGCTCTAAGACTTGCGGTTAAACCCAGACAAGGGCCTGGTTTTCTCGCACGGCCAAACATGGCTCCGGCAAACAGTGGCCTGATTCATTGCGGAGCCGTTTGACTATCGACTCGCAAGCACTCACCGATGAAGCGACTGGCTCGCGCTGACTGACCATGCCGCTTTTGCACTTGCAACCGAAAGCTTGCTGTGCAATTCGCAAAAGAGACATCCGGAAATGGAGGACCTCTTCTGGTTGTGCCGGGAAAGGGCAGCCCACTTTTCCAATACCTACGCACTTCCTGAGAGGATTGGTGAGGAACAGTTCCGGCGCTGATGTCTGCGCTTTTGCCTCTTTTGTATTTCAAACACCATCAACATGATGTCCCAAAAAAGTTTGGACGGCCAATGGCAGTCCAACCACAGCCAAGCAGCCCCCCCACCTCTTGGGCCCCAGCCGCAAGTCGTAGCAGTACAGCCCCCCGCGGTCCTGGCCAACTCTTGGATCCAGGCCGCAATTCGGCACTCTCACTGGTTCACAATGGCGGGCTCCTTCGCTGAGTTGGGGGGCAATACAAACGTGACGTGGAATGCAGGCATTTAGATGACACTATGAATTCAATCAACATGCAACTTAAATGAACGTCGGGTAGCAATTGGGCAACACACACACACACATCGGTCCTAATCGGAAAATCCGCTCACTTGCACACGTGAATGGGGGCTGGCACAAGCAAGCCTATGGGGTCCCTTTCAAAGGGAGGAAATTCAAACATCCCCCTGATGAGTGGGTTCCTTCAAACCGGCCTCATGGTGCTCGTGGAGCACGGGGTCGATACAATTTTTGGGGGGACCCGGTATAAAATGACGGTGCAACGTCTGGTCTGGAGAAGGGCAAGCCGAGCGTATGCCCGTAGTTCCTCAATAGCCGAAGGCCAACCCAACCAATATTCCCTGCATTTGCAGTGTCTTTCAGAAACTGCGTGATGCTTGCCATCCTGCGACAAACAACTTCAACCTCATTGTTTGGACATTGCGCTGCGCCAACAATGTCACTCTGTGCTTCCTTCATGCAATTGGTCGGTAGCATTTAACTCTTTGCTGCTTCGCGAGAAAACACAAATCTTCCCAAAAAGCTGTGTGCAGGATTCTGATCAAATTAACATCCAAGAAAACAGGCAAGCGTCATCGCACAATCGTCGGACGAAACCCTTGATGCATGAGCTACATAGCAGCGGCATCTGGCCGTCTGCACGACCAGCAGCAAGAGACAGTAACTGAACATGGAACCCTGGACAATGGATGTTCACGGGGGTAGATCTGCGAGTCGGAAAGAAACAACCGGCAACTGTTTTTAGTACTGTGCAAGGTGACTTGCTGGAGCAAACAAACAGGATTGCATCCACTTCCGAATCGACTTACCAAGCGCACATCATCAATGCCAAACAAGTCCCCGTCAAACGTGTCGGACAGGCAGGCCGCATGCCACTGTACGAAGAGTCGCCCAACCTCAGCACAGCAATCAGTGAATTAGATATGGGCGAGCATTTTCAGAAAGCTCCAAGTCAAAATAAGACTGGTCGTACTGCCTGTGGGCCTGCTCCACATCTACTCAAATAAGGAAGATATAATTTATATCAATTCTACGGTCTGAGAGTACAGGCACATGCCTGGCAACAAAGCGGCTCAGATCAGTGTCAGACCAGCGCTTGGATCAAGTCGCCAGCCCCAAACATGGTGCATCAGGAATAGTGCGCGCAAAATGATAACACCAACAATCACTGTACGGCTCTTAGACAGGAGAAGAGTGACCTGCAAACACTACACTTCTGGAAGGCTTCCCGCATCTAAAGAGCGCATGGCCTTGCATGCCGCATCCCTTTCTGCGGTTGGAAGCAAGCGGTGCATTGGTCAACAATCAAAGCGGATGAGACCCGAATGAACTTGTGCCGTGCAAGCCCCAGGTTGATTCGTGGAGGACAAACCTTCATCCTTCTCGCCAGCGGAAGGAACTGAACAAGAACCTAGCTAATAGAACAAATGCCCTTTGGGGGCTGGGCTGAGGGATGCTGGCAAGCAAAGTGCGAAAGGGCTCACATGATATTCAAGTTCCATACATATAACCTGACTTGGGAGCTAGAGGCCCCCTGTATATTGAAACCTTGTGCGTTCCATTTTGGCGGACGGCAGGATATGAAGTAAACGACAGGTAAAGGAAATGCCAACATGCTAACTCGCTTTATGGATTCACTCGTTCATTTCCTGTGTGTTTACCATTCTCTTCATTATACTACCTAATGCTTCCGGATCTTTTCCTTTGTTGACGGTAAAGTCATGAATCAAGGTAGAGAAATGGAAAGATAAGGAACAGGTGAAATGCTTTTATGATGATAGTTGGCTTTCTTTTTGTGTCTTTTTTATTATTGTTTGTTGACTTTAGGATATTTGTCTTTTTAATATTTTATTTACTGTAATCTTGGTAATCCTTGAATTGTGGATGACATGTGCTTCAGGAACTAATATAATTGCAGTCTTATAAGGTAAAAATATTATATTGTAGAACTATAGAAAAGACCGAGAGTTGGAGGGCTTGGCATCTTATCTCACTATCCTTCACTCGCTTCTCTCGTCTCACGGTTACATGTCCTTCCAGCTGCCAAGGATTCTCAAGCCATGTAATCCCAAATAATCCAAATATAGAAATGTAATAAGAAAGCAAATTAAAGATATAAAAAGAAAAGCAACAAGATGTAGAAACCCATGCATAAAGCAAATAACCAAGATAAAGATATAAAAGAAAAGGACATGATAATGCTTTCCTGTCTATCACTTCTTTCCCATTATTACCTGTCTTTCATATCTTCAGGATATTCCAGGTATTCCGGTGACAGGTCTTGAGGAAGATGGAATGGTGGATAATGCTATTTTTCTTCCTAAACATCCACTTCTCTTCACCATGGAATGACTCTAGGATTATAACATAGGTGACAAGGAAGAATGAATGATGATCAGGAAGAAATCTCACATTTTCACCTCGTCCTTCTCTTTGTCAGGACTTGTCTATAGATATACCCAGCATTACCTAGGATTGTTGAAAAGTAGATAATCAATAATAAAATATGCTTGAAAAGAAAGGAAAAGATGAAATATGCTTAGCAGCTAGGATAAAGGCTTGCCTCGTCTCTTAGAGCCGTCTCTTTTCTATTTATCACCTGGATCCGCTCCGTCAAGTCGCTACAGCATACATCTTATCTTTTTATTAGTGTTTATTATTATAGATTGTATACCTAAAGTAAAAGCAATTAATAAGACTGGGAAATGAAAAAGGCAAGGTATTTACTAATATTATTTGCTTTGTGTCTAGCCTCGTCCTTAAGACTCGCTATCCAATGTAAACTCCAGGATTCTCCAGATGCAACTAATAAATCCTGGAAACAGAGATGACATGAAGGAAGTAGATATCAGGCATTACATGGAAAGGAATGAAGATATGGTGAATGAGGTTTACCGAAAGGCCAGGCATTATACTGTATCTCTTGGAATCTCTGGTCTTTTATCCCTATCTTTCACCTCTTTACGTAATACCTTGGAATGAATGGAATGTGAGGTTTCCTGGAGATATCTTTCCTTGTCATGTCATGCCTGTTACCCAAGAAGACTCAATTAGAGGCGAGGCATGGCAAATATAATAAAGTCAAGATTATAAATGAAAAGAACTAGACAAGGAAACCATCATATCACCTCCAATCCACTCCGTCAACAACTTGTAATCCAGCCTGCGGGCTATTTCATATGAATAAAGGAAAAGACATATAAAATAATAATAATAAAAAAGAAACATAATTAAAAGAAAGACAGATAGAAATATAATAAAATAAGATAATAATTAATATAAGAAAGAGATATAAATATAATAAAAAAGAAATGTAAGAAATAAAATAAACAAGACATAAATAAAAAGAAAATTAAAAGAACAAACATAAAGAAAAGATAAATAAGAAATAGATAGGGGAGAGAGAGATAATGGATTGGCTATTTACGTTTCTCTCCCCGGCTTCTATCGTTTACCAGCTCCTTTCGGGCTTGGAAGGTCATGAACTCACCTATTAATCCATGTGACAGGACATAAAAGTAAAAGCAAATAAGATAAAAAAAATATAAAAATAGTAATTAATAATAGCTTTTACGACATAATAAAATTCCAAGAATAAATGCTAAATTAATAAAAAGAAAAGAATAGGAATAAAAATATAAACAAATAAGCACGAGATGAAAGGAATCCATCCTCAGCCTTTCCATAAAGACACTTTTCTATTTCTCTTTACTTCTTCTTTAGAATTCTTTTATTTTGGAAATCATTACATTTAGAAGTTACATCAGATTCATTTTGTTTTCTTATTAATATTTCTATCTTATTAATCTTTGCAAATATTATAATTCTATTTATCTTTACAGGATTTAATATTTATTGTTGGACTGGAATTCACTTCTCATAGAATTATTTTCTTATATTATTTCATCTTAATTTAATATTTATTTGTAGTTTTCATATTTGGTCTAGAGATTTATTAGGAGAATTAACTAAAAAATATGAAGTCTTATTAATAATCGTTCTTCTTTTTGGAAGTTTTCTAGTTTCTGAAGCTCTATTATTTGTATCCTTCTTTTGGACATCTTTTCATTTATTATCTTCTCCAACTTTAGGGATGTGGCCAGGAGAAGCTTTCTATCTTCCAGATCCTTGTGAATTAACTTTTGCTAATACACTTCTTTTATCTAATGCTGCTATATCTCTAGGAAATGCTTTTATTAATAACGAAATTTCATCAGAATATATTATTTTTTTCACTTTATGGTCATTCCTTTTGTCTTCTCTTTTTATTAGTTTGCAGATTAAAGAATTTCGCATTCTCGCATTATCCATCCCCTTGTGGTTTAAACAAAACCTAATATTGGTTTCTCCAGGGCTGCGCCACGTGCTTGGCGTGTTTGGGTCGAGCGCCAAGGATGTTCAGCACAAAAGAAACCTGGTCAAATACTTCCATTTGCTTAAGCCCCCTGGAAAAAACATATTTCCAGTAGTGATAGATTCCCTTTAAAACCAACAGGGGAAGAAAAACAACAACAAAACACTTAAACAAATCGAAGAACAGTGATATGGTCTGGTTTACAGCGAAGACGACGCTCCGGTCAGCGCGCTTCCCAGTGCTTTCGACTGCGCAACTCCTTGGGCAGCCGGCGACGCCGAGAGGATCAGCTGCCAGCCGGAAGGAGCTACGAAGCACCTGGCGACAGCCCCGCTTTCGTCAATTCGAGAAAGATGCGTAGTACAAATGATGAATGGAGACCGCGTGAATGGGTGACTATGACGCATGTCTTCTGTCCTGTTCACATCCCTGTCGCCAGTACTTTGAAATGGTATTCTATGACACATGTAAACATCGTTGGCAGGAACCTATTTTTCAGCATCCACGAAACAAAATCGGCAATTACAAGCCCTAAGTCTCCACTAATTTCACTGCCTTCAGGAAGAAAAAGGGAAGTGAGGGACATCGGAGTCAAACCCCGGGCTTCGGGTGCTCAACTCGCAGCCAAGTGGCAAGCTGAAGCTCAAATCCTTGTGTTCCACACTCACAAACCGTGGGACCCTTTTTGGGGCTCGTTTTCAAGGGTCATGTTGCCCAAGCGAAATCTCTGCCAATCCAGATGGCTCAACCCTGGTGAGGTACTTGGCCAACCATGGCCGCCCGACTGTTGCCATGATCCCTCAGCGTGCAGGTGGGCCATCGCCGAAGAGTCTATCACTGGCCCAAACTCTTTTTTCGCCATCCAGCAAGCCGGGATATAAACATCACAAAAAAGCTGCGCCCTGCACAAGGCAAAGAAGTTCTCACCTGCATGCCTAATGGTTGCAAAGTTGTGAGAGCATGCTCCTGATTGATCCTAAGCGACAATGAGTCATTGTCACCTGTTGGAGCATGTGTGTTTGCTGAAACTCCGGGTCATACAAACTCCTCTCAAGCGCTGGTCGCTGCCCCCTCCCCCCTCCCCACAGTCAAAGCTCGCCAGATCTGCTGCGTGGGCGTGACCGCCCCCACCTGGATGGTGTGCATGCGCTTCAGAGACACCGCCTGTAGCCAAGGGCTTCTCTGCCACGGCAAAGAACGGTTCTCGCTACATCCAACATTAGCAGCGCATGACATTTGTATACATCTATGTAAATGCTCGATTATATATATATATATATGTATTTTGCTTGGGCCAACGGAGCTTTGTTTACGAAACAGCAGACAGAAAAATGCATTTCCGCCAAACGGCCGACACATGCACCCTCCGGAAGTCGCAGGTATGTATGTATATACACGCATGTACATATATACATATATATGCATATGTGCACGGGTATGTATACATATGTGTATATACACATGATCTGTTTATGTGCATTCATTTATATGCACAGAACTGTGTACGCATGTAAACACATCATGCCCATGGATTCAAGATTCAAGATCTAGTCGTGGGAATATTGACCTTGAATCTTAGATCCAAAAGTGCTTTAAAGCGCTTTAAACCGACTGCTTTCAGTCATTCCGTTTGGTTGAGCACCTTCGTTTGGGGCTTGCGTGCGGTAAATACAGTTAATAGCCCAGCATATGGACATTGGAACATGCTATAGAAATCCACGGTCACCCTTGGATATTGGAAAAACACACACTGCAAATACTGGTGTTTTTTGGCAGGTTATGTGCAGAACATATTTTGTTCAGGGAAATTAGTCATTTGAGCAGACAGCGTGGCATTGATCAAGGAATATAAGATGTGAGCAGATGTTGGGGCATTGGCCAAGATTTGTGAGCTGACAGACGAAGCGGATTTGCAGACGAATAGGTTTGCACATCAGTTGAGATGAGAAATATCCTGCCTCTTCCAAAAGGTGCATCATTTCAGCAGTTTCGGGCACAACCATGTTTTAAGTTGAAACAGCGCATTTTGATACAAACAGCGCTTTTCCTCTTGTCAGCATCAGGGTGAATATTTGCGGTCATGCAAGGCTTGTTCTTCGTGCTAGTATGTTGGTTACAATGTGCTGTTCGAACGTGCGCTTGACTTCGCAGCACACTATTGCCGCATTTGAGTGCTACTTTTTCCGCATCAGGCCTCTTGAGTACTGGAGGTTCGGCAGACAGCATCCAGCATCTTTTTGCAAGCGCATTTCTCCTGCTGCGCAGCGAAGGTCGCAGCTATGTTAAACATCACGCGCAGTGGGAGTGGTAGGATCTCCACGTCTTCCAGAAATCACAACGTCAAGTGTTTTTAATTTGCAACCAAGACTCTGCGCATGTTTGGCTTGAAGGGCCTTCGTAACTTCACAAAAACAACTGTTGCATAGTGGTTAAACTCGCGTGAGGGCAGAAGGCCAATCGGTTTGTATCCAAGCCAGGAAGGCTGGAAGCGCGTGAAAGAAGGAAACAGCAAGGAACAAACCAACACACAACAATGTGTTGCAATGAAAATTGCTACTGCAGCAGTTGCCGACAGATGGCTGCTGGATGCCCACGCCTACTGATGCACACACCTGCGAAGCGTCAATTTGTTCTGAATTGCAGCGGGGCTTGCCATCGAAGGTCTTGAAGGAACGGACAACTGCGACGTCCATATTTGCAAAAACGAAGCGGCGACAACTTGCGGCCAAACGGCGATAATTTGCGGCCAAACGGCGATTTTTGGCGAACCAAGTTCATAGCGCTTGCCGGTTCCGTGCACGCGCTGTTCTATCGCAAACTATTGCAAGGGCTGCCCTTGGAAGTGAATGTCGCTGCCGCTTGGAGCTGTGGTCCTTGTGTGGGCTGCAGCCACTTATGACAAGAAAATGAGTACGCAGACACATCAAAATCACTTCCTTTATGCTTGAACTTGTCCTTGCTGATGTTGACACTGTCTGACGGTGTTTGTGGTGTGCTGAGAGAATGCGAGGGGTGATTGCGACTTGTAACAAAAACGTAAGGGCCTGAGCTACAGGGCTCAGAAGTCCTTCTGGGTGAGCGCTTCTTGAGACGCCAACGTGCGACAAACTTGCATGTGCTGCACATGTGCGCATGCCTGGGATTTTCGCGAGGGTGTTTGTTCCAGACCCTTCGGGACTCTTGAACGCTACCATTGGCAGACATGAATGGCAGGCGCGCGTGCTTCAGCTTCAACAAAGCAACTGGCTTTGCTCAGGGATGCGCAGCAGTAGCAGGCGTTAACCAAAGCTTGTGTAGTGATTTTCGGATTTTGGAACTTTAATCCCTTCCCCCCAATAATAAACGACCCCCCCCCCCTAATAAAGAAAAAATCCCGGCCAGCAACACATTTTTTATTATTAGGGGTCCCCTGGATCTGGAGGTCAGGTTTTGAAGGTGCCTCTTGTTCTGTGTAAGCTTGTCTGCAACTTTGTAGTACAGCCGTAGTAAAGGAAACGTACTCCCGGAGTTCTGGCTCGAAAGTCGCACCTTTGTAGTACAACCGTAGTAAAGGAAACGTACTCCCGGAGCTCTGGCTCGAAAGTCGCAACTTTGTAGTACAGCCGTAGCAAAGGAAACGTGCTCCCGGAGCTCTGGCTCGAGAGTCGCAACTTTGTAGTACAGCCGTAGTAAAGGAAACGTGCTCCCGGAGCTCTGGCTCGAAAGTCGCAACTTTGTAGTACAACCGTAGCAGGGCTGTGGGGAATGACCACTTCTGTGATACAACAGAAAGGGCTTCCCAAAGACTATTTTGTTTATAGAAAGGGGGATTCCCTTGTATCACAGAAGTGGGGAGAAACCCCTTGATCCCACAACCCTGAACCATGGTAAAGGAAACATGCTCCCAGGTCAGCCTAATGGGTCTGGATTTGAGTACGGGCAGGAAAATACTTACTTTAGAATTGGCTAAGTATTGGCTATTCTCAAAGTAGTATTCCCGGATTTGGGACTTCTGAAACAATTATTTATTCTTGGGGAGACCTTTATTAATAGGGGAAGTGATTGGTTGCGATACCCTGCACGATCCTCCAGGCACATTTATCCACACTAACTTGGGGCAAGGATAGAAAACTGCACTGCCAACATTGAAGGAAGTCTCAGAAGATTCGCGTAACGGCAAGTGTTGATTGAAACGGCTGAAATTTGTTGAAACGGCACTGATTTCCGCAGTTTGGCCAAACGGCAGAAATTACGTGCCCTCGGAAGATCCATACCCTTGCCAGGGTACTGTCACAGAGATGTTTAGTCAATTAATTGAGGATAATATTTGTGATGAAGACTATGAACAACAAAGTTAATCTGGCCGCAGTTTAACAGCGAAACATGCGAGAACATCACGGTTTGCATGGTGTTCTACCAGTAACTGACATGTCTGAACACTTCAGAGATGTATGTATGACATATCATGGCTTGTATTATGACACTTTACCTAGCTTTGCTTTTGCAATGTACCTAACTTTCCCTCTGATGCTATGTTCAAATTAACTTGTGTTGAAATACATCTAGTTTATGACAAACAGTGTATGAAATGGTTCAACAAGGATCAACATGAGGAATGCCAACCATTTTTCAGAAAATAGAAGTAAATACTACTTAAATGGGGGTCAAAGTCTTAAGACCTGACTTGCCTTACACAAGCAGCAGGCGCGTTTGTTCTTCCTTGTTGTTGTCTTTGTTGGGAGGAGGTGGTTGCATATACATATATATATATATACATACATATATACACATATTACCCGCACAAACAGACATGTGTGTGCATGTCGACTTGCATGATTGCATGTGTCGGTGCGCACTTGTATGCAAGTAAGTGTATGTACATGTACATTAATAATATATACATATCATATGTACACACATGCAATATGCATTTATCTGTGTTGTGCAGTGTAGGATATGGGCGATGCAATTCAAGAAGAGCGGCCGCCGTTGTAATGATTGTTGAAATGTCCCTTTTTGTGCACTGCCGCTAAGATGCGGTTCTCGCACTACATGTCCATCGCTAAGCGGCAAAACATCTGAAACTCTGACGGGCACCCTCCTCAGCACAAAGGAACCACTCATGCACCGTGAATGATGTTTGCTTCCATGCACATGTTGCTTCCGTTTTCGGGATAAGTCCCCTGCAAACAAGGTAGCCCTTTGCTGATCGAAAGGAAAGCGAAAAAAAAAAGAACAAACACACTAAATTAGGGGGTGTCTTGTTTCCCTTTCTAGGGCCACTTCGGAGAGGGTCTGCTTCGGAAGCACGTGTGGGCGCCAGTGCAGCAAACCGTTTGCAAGCAAGGTCTGGCGGGAAGCCGGCCAAATATGCAGATAACAGACGTAATCATCACTCCCTCAATGGACCCAAAACTTCTGGATTAGTCCAAAGCTCAGGTAACAAGCAAATTAATGTCTGTCATAAGCTTGCCCTTTGGCAAAACGTGGGGAAGCCTTGCCCATAGATCATGGTGGATGCATGACCTTTACTCCACTCTGGCGCAAATGTCCAGTGTTGCGACTATGAAGCTGCCACGACGGATGGTCCGGCTCCGGATGACGGTCCAAACCCGCAATCAAGGCTTAGCGACCCATCCGTTTTGAACATCGAATTAGGGTATGGTATGGCGGACAAATATCGCCAGCTCAAATGAAATTATACAACAGGCCCTTCGTTCCTCAATTGCAATACATGTTTTTGTGTTTGCTTTTTTCTCCCCGGGGGGGGGGGGGGTGGGGAACCCCTTTTGGTTGTCCTTTCAGAGCAACAACGGGAAACTGGTGAAATTTGTTGGGCTTCTTTAACTTTGTTTGATACACATGTCTTCAATCCTGGTCCATCTGAAAAACATTTTAGCTGAAGCCCTGGGCCTTAGTCCTGAGAGCCGGCTTTTACGGACCCGAGTCGTTCCGAACACCGCGTGCCCTGGGGCATCCAGACATGCCCCATCGTGCAAAGTTGGCAAAGCACAAGACGAAGGGAACCCAATCAAGGATTCACAAGTTCATGTTTGGGGCTACGCAAATTTGGCTGTGGCTCAAAAAACCGGCACCAAAGTGGAACCCTAAGAAAACATGGATCAAAACCTGCGTAACCAAAACCTGCTGTTTCATTTTGAGCCACATCCATTTGGCTGTGGCTCAAAAAGAAGGTACCAAATTGGTACCTTGGTACATGGAGCCAGAAACTACAACCCGCGTAACCCCAGCTCCTTAGAGCCACAGCCATTTGTTTACCAGGCCCCCCCCCCCCCTCCGCCCCACTTGAAGTGAGCGAGACGCCTGATCCCAGATTCGCAGCTTGCCGTCGGCGCCGCCCACCGCCAGGAGGTTCGGGAACCTGGCGGCGACTCCGCGCATTGCTCGGATCGCTCTACTGGCTCCAAAGATCAAAGACAAGCCCGCTAACTGTAAGAATACTGCCACTTGATGACGACCCTCTTGAGAAAAAAACAAAAAACAAAAAACTTGACTTGCCACATTGCATACATCTTGCAGACTCTTGTCAACCTTGACGTTTGGTTCTATCAATCATCAGTGCGAAACATTGCAGAACAAGTGTTGGTTGCACAATAGTTTGGTATTGATTCGGCCAACCTTCGCATGGCTCACTTCAGTATCGGGCTGTTGGCCTCTCGTCTGGTCTCGTCTTTAATCTTGGTTCAGTATTCGGGCGTGGCTCTTTTTGAGGGCATCTGTCCATTTCGTGATTTTACCGGGAAGGCCACTGAAAAACCGCCCTTTTTGGGATATGTGTCCG